CCTATGTTTTCCCCAACGACACCAAGAAATCTCCTAATTTGCTTCAATTAACGAAAAGAAATACACCTCAACTTCAAAAATAAAAAAAAATTGATAACACATTTTTGAGCTGTGTTACATTGCTAGTGTGATAAAAAATTTGAAAAAAAAATGATTTCGAACTGCTAATAAACTATTGAACAAGATACCATTGCCAAGAAAACGCCAAACAGCTATAAATGTAAACTTATAGTATACCCTGATCTTTGTAAATACCGTAAATGATCTTTAAATCCGAAAGCACAAGTAGAGTCTATCGAAAAGCCTTGATCATTATATTGTCAGCTCCGAGCCAAATTGATACTTTAGTTGCTATTGTTATTATTGAATGATTTGTCTATTCTTATGCAAATGTGTTCTCCCCTGTGCTTATCCCTTGCATCGAGAAGGGGAGATCCTTGGGATTGCCTAGGAGGACAAGTGAGACTCTCATTTGGAGTCCCCCCCTTCCCCTTACACTTATTTGTAATCTATTCGTCTTATTATACTACTGTAAATAAAGATACATATCTTCCGAGTCTATGCAACTGCAGTACAGGTCGGTCATTTCACAGGGACTCCCCTCTAATACGTTGGAGGAGTTGAGTTGGGTTGTCGGGGTGTTAGAGATGGCGGGATATCAAAAGGGATCCACTCTCTTTAACTTAACCCAAATTCTAGTCCACATCCGTTTATACCTAGGAACGAATAATATCTACACTTGAAAGCAAATATAACATCAAAAGTTTCTATCCCAAATTCTGAATGTTAAATGGTAGCTTTTTCGGCAAAACTCAACCCAACTTTTACTATTTTGATCTGAGAGAGCAAAAGTCATTTTAAAATCGGATATACATATATTGCAATGCTCATATAACATCATTTCTGAACTTTCGGGACTTCTGAAAGAGCTTTAAGGGCTTTTTTTTACTTTGACTGGAGGCAAAAAGTGAACTTCTGTTGTCAGGGTCGAGTTTTATATTGTCAAGTGTTCCATCTCGGAAACACAAAAACAAGTCTGTCGAAAAGTCTAGCTACCTCTGCTTCCCAACACTCAAAAAGAGCTACACCCTTCAGAAATAGACCATCTTTAACACGTATTGTGTAAATCGTAGTTGCAAAAAAGGTGCACACAAAAACTGAAGCAATTCGGTTGAAAGTTGTTTTGGTTATCGTGTTCTTGAGCTGTTCTTGATCTTGATATGTTGTAAGACCAAAATTCAATCACCTATTTAATCCTTTAGGACTAAAAAACCCCGGATGTTTGCTCTTATTCGCTCAATTTACTAAAAGACACAGATCTAATGACAGCGAATCTTGCAAAAACCTGAAAAAAAATCGAATTGTTTATGGGCAAAACGCACTTTTGTTTGTTTGTGCTCTCTTTCTGGAAGTCCCCCTTTTTCTTTTTGTATGTGACCGATTTAGTTCCTTTTTGTCAAAATGATCACTCGCCAAATTCGTTGAAAATCTTCCTATATAGGACTTCAAATCGACTTGATTAACAGTTTCATTTGAGCACAAAAAAATCACAACTCTTCTCGTTCTTCTGTACCAAATGAATTTCCTCATTCTTCTCCTACTCATTGCCATTCTCGCCCTCACATCAAATGCACAATGTAAGTAAACGGAAAACAGTGGAAATATGAGCAGCTTACGGGAGTGGGACAAATGCGACCTTTTTTTTTGCCCACCTGGACATTTGCGCACCTTTTTTTTGCTGGAAAGGCCTTAGGAAAGGTCGTAGAGCTTCAAAAAAGTTTTCATATAAGGGAATCGTATGCGTAGATTCAGAATTTTGACAAATCAGACCTCGCTGACACGTCAAATTTGGGCTAAAAGGCAAAAACTACGCAACTTAACGCTTTTCCGCAATTTTTGCCTTTTAGCCCAAATTTGACGTGTCAGCGAGGTCTGATTTGTCGAAATTCGGAATCTACGCATACGATTCCCTTATATGGAAATATTTTCGAAGCTCTAAGGCCTTTTCCAGCAAAAAAAAGGTGCGCAAATGTCCAGGTGCGCAAAAAAAAGGTCGCATTTGTCCCACCCCCCCAGCTTACAAAAGAGTGCTCGTAGTTCAGCTCGTAGTTCGAGATCGGCTTGATACTGAGTGGATAGAGTTGTAGAATCGATCACGTTGATCACGCTGTCGTGAAGATTAGAGAAGGATCGCAAATGCATCGCAAGAACTTAAGCGTCTCAGTGAATCGCAAGAATTTAAGTATCATGCTTTTAAGGTATTTTTGCGTATTTTTAGGACTTTTTCGTTATTTTCCCCTTTTAAGCTTGCTTGCGATACAACTAATAAAAAGTTTTCGGTCGGTCGGATCCATTCTCGACCGATTTTGATTTACAAATACCATTGGCTTGAGCACCTAAATGAATACAGAGTAGGGGAAAAGTTCATGGGCACTTTTTATTCCATCATTTTCTGAATTCTCAAAGATGGCTTGATAAAAACTTAAAATATCAAAAACAAAAGTTTTTTTGTAGAATTTCAGCTTCAAAATAAGCAAAAGAGTTTGAAAAAAATGGCAAAATTGAAGAAAAGACGGGCAAAAGAGTCGGAAAGCCTTCAATGTGCATCGGGGGAAAAGATGTGCACCTAATGATTTTCAAGAACACCTACAAAAACATCTCAATCATCTCAATTTGTTTATTTTGGTTTTTCTTAAGATTAGACACCTTAAACTACTAAATCATAATTGAATTCACAGCGCCAGAAGGGATTTGTTTACAATTTTAGCGCACAAAGTACACCCTAAAGCTTATTGAGTCTCAAGTTTCAACTTGAACAAGGCTAAACGAGCATGCATTTGTTTAATACTTTGAACAAATGCTTGAGCTTTGTCGCGCACAAAAATAAGAATCGAGTGCACCATAAGGAGTGTGTTGTGAACTTTTTGAAGCTTAAAGTACACCAAAAAGAGCAAGGCAAAAGAGCAAAAGGCTGAGAATCTTCAAAGTTTTCTTGTCTCCCGGAAAAAGTATTCAGGTTTGACTGAATATCTTTAGATTCATCGTTTTTTGGGTGGATTTTTGTGAACTTTTGTTTATTATAGGCTTACCCTGGGTTAAGGGAGAGAGAAAAAATTGAAAAAATCTTCTTGAAAACCTCAAAAGGTTAGTGATCAAAAGGCTTAAAAGTGTGCGCCAGAGATCGTGCTCGGTTTAGTGAATGAAGCAACTAAATTCAAATCTAAAAAAAAGTATTTGATATTCTAATAGTCATAGATTTTATATTTATTAAGTTTTTATCAAGCCACCTTTGAGAGTTCAGAAAATGATTGAATAAAAAGTGCCTAGGAACTTTTCAGCCACCCTAAAGGGAATCGCCCCCAATTCAGGTAAGGCTCGAGCCCAGGCCCATTCTGAGCAGTTTTTCATATTGATTTAAAATTAGCTTTTCGTTCCTCCAAAAAGACGCCGAGCCATGAGTGTTTGGCTTCAAAGTTTGATAGGCTTTTCAGTTAATTTTCTAGAATTTTCAAGTATTTCTGGGTCTTGAAATACTTGAAACTGATTGACTTTAAACTAACTGAAAAGCCTATAAAACTTTGAAGCATTATATACAGAGCGAAAAAAAAGTCAGAAAATGGCAACACAATGCACTTAGACTTTATAAAAGAAAATCTGAACATAGATATTGCGAAACAGATTTGTTTTTGATTGGAGAGTAGATCTAATTATTGGGAGCAAAACAATCCTACTTGAAGTCCGTGCCTAGGAACTTTTCAGCCACCCTAAAGGGAATCGCCACCCTAAAGGGAATTAAAGCCACCCTAAAGGGAATTAAAGCCACCCTAAAGGGAATTAAAATTAGCTTTTCGTTCCTCCAAAAAGACGCCGAGCCATGAGTGTTTGGCTTCAAAGTTTGATAGGCTTTTCAGTTAATTTTCTAGAATTTTCAAGTATTTCTGGATCATTACTTGAAATACTTGAAACTGATTGACTTAAAACTAACTGAAAAGCCTATAAAACTTTGAAACCAAATATCTCATGGCTAAGAGACGTTTTGGCAAAACAGAAAGCAGATTTGAAATCTGCTTCCAAAATTGTACAGAATGCACCCGGACTCGAGCCAAACGCACTGCGATCTTTCTCTAGTACTGCGCCAAAAGCACATGCGATCTTTCTCTAGTATGCAAATAAGCTACGATATTTTCCAATAGGTTAGCAATAAAAATTTCGAAAATTCATTTACTGACCCTTTTGAATGAGAGCTAAACAACGCTTTTCACAACTAATTTCTTCTTTTCAGGGGGCTGGGGATCGGGCTATGGAAGTGGATATGGAAGTGGATACGGAAGCTACTACAGTCCCTACTATAGCAGGGGATATTATGGAAAATAGAGATACTTTATATTGGCCTCCACGATCATCTCAACAGCCTATTAATGCTATTATTAAAACGTGTACAACAAATAAAAAAGCTTCAGTGATTTGGGATGCGAATTGTAGACTTCAACTGAGCGTCAGGATGACGTCATATGTACACTAATGGACAATGAAATATGATATCTGAAAAAAGATCGTCACTTTCGCGCGTCTGTAACTCCCTTGTCTTTACCGTATTTCTAAATATTAATATTACCATTGTGTAGCGCTTGAAAAGAGCTTTCAGAAAATGTAGAACACTAATAGTTTAAACTCAAAGACAATGGAGTTACAGACGCGAAAAAGTGACGATCGTTTTTTCAAATATGATATTTCATTGTCCAGTACTGTATCATGCACAAATGCACCAGCGTCACATGGCACAAACTTTGCCTCTTAGAAAAAGAAAGATAGTTCCCATTTTTTCAAAGCGTTTATTCTCGTTGATATACAAATGTGCAGTGATAACAAACATCAAATGCATTATATACAGAGCGAAAAAAAGTCAGAAAATGGCAACACAATGCACTTAGACTTTATAAAAGAAAATTTGAACATGGATATTGCGAAATTGTTTTGTTTTTGATTGGAGAGTAGATCTAATCATCGGGAGCAAAACAATCCAACTTGAAGTCCGTCTAGGAAATTAATATTTCATTGTTTGAAGTCTTACTTCGGCTTTTTATAGGAATCCTAATTTAAGCATTCGCCTTTCTCTTTTTCACTCACCACTCCATCAAAGCTCCACTGTTCATCATCGTTACACACAAATGGTCGATAGTCGCCTCCAGCAATGGTGCTATTGTAGCCAATCTATAAGTTTTCAATATTTAGTAATTGATTTCCTGATTCTATTTCTCAGAATAATTAAGGACAAACCGAGCTCTTTCCATCTTCTCTGTAACCGTATAAATTTTCTGTATAGGATTCCCCTTGCCACAACTCGAAGACGGCCTGAAAAGTTGATTGTGGGACATTTGAAACGCGCCCCGCCCCTTTGCCATTAGCATAATAGCTTTGAGCTGAAATATCTTGGCTTTGGGCTGTCCAATTGAAATAGCTTTTGTACCAATCAACCGAGAAAGACTTGGTCTATCTAGTGATACTAAGAGTATTTAAAGTGGACACCCAGAAGCCAATGGCGAAAGGGGCGGGCGCGTATCAAATGTCCGATAACTTGAAAAGTTAGCTATTGTACAGCTTGGCTTTTTTCCAGATAAAATTGACTTACGGTCGTTTCGGGAGCATTCACTCGACAAAACCAATCGGCAATCAAACAATTGTTGTTGGCTGGATCATTGCTGAAAGTAAGTCTCATTACCTTAAAGGGGCATTACCTCATTGAGCCATTCAGTTGATAGCCGTTCATTATACCAAAAACTTGTGCGATAACTCAATAAATCTCACCTGTAGCGGTAAGCTGGCGTTCCCAATTTGGCGTAGTACTTCTCGTTGTATATTTCGTCCACGTTTTTCGTACATCTTTGACAAGCTGAAAAGAGTTGTTCGCTTCCTAACAACGGTTATTTCAATAGGAAAAAACTGGCCTAATCTTTTGCCTTGTTTCCTTACAAATAAGCCATTACAACTAAATAATTGTAATTACCGGGTAAAGGCGTTGTCGTGGTCTTCTTTGAGGTGGTCTGGACACCGTCGCACAAACCACAAGAAACAGGACAATAGTCTTTCTTTGTTTGTGTGCTGTATTCGGTCGATTCACAGAAGTTCAAGTCAGCGATCCACCCGGGACAGCTACAAGCTTTTGAGATACACATTCCATCAATCACATATCATGTTGAGTACGAAGTCTTGCACCCACATTCATTTTCTAATTGAATAAGTCTCAGACTTCTTTCGTTAGATAGCCTAATCATTTCTCTTGCAAATGTCTTTTGAAAACTTCTGAAAAGCTTTGTTTTTAAGGTTTTTCATTAGCAAGAAGCCGAGTGTTCAAAAACGACAGGGTCCGATGATGCGATTTGGACCGTTTCTTTGAATTAAACCTATTTTGATGGCACAATAAAAAAGATAGCGCCCAAGTATTAGGCCCACAACCAAGATTTCAGAATAATTCGTTTAGCGGTGTTCTTTATGTGTTCATTTTTCAAGATTTTTAAAAATACCAGTTTTCGGACTCGCAGATTATTCTAAAATACTCAAAATTGTTTAAAAATGACAAAAAGTAAATGCTAAACATTTATAATGAAAGAAACCGTTTGGTATTTGGTAGTTTAAGACTCGTCCATTTCGATAATGAAATGATGGGTACAAGACTTAGTACTGAACCTAATAGTTCTAATGGTGTAACCCATTTTTAGCACTTATGCTCTTGTTTAGTCTTATGGTCAACGAAATCTATCCTGATCGCCTTAAACAGTGCAAAGTTCACTCAAATGACTCAATTCACTCGGATATGTTCATAAAAATGGAGTCAGCATGTCTCATTGATGCACGTAAATCAATAGAGCTTGGCTTTTCTAGTTTTCGTTCTCGCAGACTATTCGAAAATATTAAGAATTGTTTAAAAATGACAAAAAGTAAATGATAAACATTTATAATGAAAGAAGTCGTTTGGTATTTGGTAGTTTGAGACTCATTTAGATAATGAAATGAAGGTAGTACTCAACCTAATCGAACCCACCCAGTTTTATCAGTACATGTCGTAGTTGTCGTTGTTGGTGCCTTCGTGGTAGTGGTGCTTGTTTTTGTTGTGGGTGCTGGCCAAATCTGATCACTACACATCTTGCAAGAGACTGGGCAGTTCTCTTTCTTCTGCGCTGCACCGTACGTCGGTTCATCGCAATAGTTGTAATCAGCAATCCATTGGGCACAACTGGAAATTATCCACCCACCATGCCATTTCAGCAATGGTATTACTCACAATGATTTATCAACACATGCTGCCTTCTGCGTTGTAGTTGTCGGTTTTGATGTGGTTGTTGATGGATTTGTCGGCGAGTCATAAGTGGCACTAGCATACGGCATTTGGCTTGTCGTAACGGTAGAAGTGGTTGATGCGGATACTGTAAGCACACAGTTAATTTACCTAAAAAAAACTAGCACTCGCCAGATCTGTAGGTAAACGAATAAGAGCTAATCCGGTATCGATTGTTGATGATTACTGGCACTATATGGCCTTCAGAAATAATTTTGTTCCCGACATCCTCTATGCAACAATAGCTGAAAGAATTGAAAAGTTTAAGCAATCCGAAAACGAACAGAAAGCGATTGGTTCCTCCGAGGACCGATTTTTGGACTAGACTACGGCTTAATCATTCAGGGACTATACAGGGTGTTCGATACAAAAAGCTTCTGGTGGCAAGAGGATCGGGGTTGTGGTGCCAAAGTAAAAGATTTGTGCTCTCATTTTTTCACTGTTTTTACGCTTTCATGATACCCCTATCATGAGTCTGAGACCATGGTCATTGTCATTCAAACACCTTATGGACTGTTGAGATCTTACAAAAATTTGGGGAAGTATTCAAACATGAATCTTTAAGAGACCAATGTGATGATCAATGACAAATGAAAATGTATACACCACGATGTCCGTACAAAGTATTAACTTTATGCCAAAAGTGTAATCGTGGTGATGCTCATGGTCTCTCAGAGTCATCATAGGAGCATCATCAAAGCGCAAAAAAAACTGAAAAGGTATAAAAAATGAGAGGCCAAACTTTGGTACCAGAACCACACCACCCTCTTCCTTAGAGTGTGTTCCTTGTGAGAAAGTTTTTGGACTAGACTACGGCTTAATCATTCAGGGACTATACAGGGTGTTCGATGAAAAAAAAAGTATTTTCGATACAAAAAGCTTCTGGTGGCAAGAGGATCGGGGTTGTGGTGCCAAAGTAAAAGATTTGTGCTCTCATTTTTTTCACTTTTTTTTTATGCTTTCTTAATACCCCTATGATGAATCTGAGCGTGCCACCATGGTTATTGTTAACCAAACACTTTATGGACTGATCGGATCGGTTGGGTTTGAGGAAGTATTCAAAAATGAACACTTGTGATCAATGTGATGATCAATGACAAATGACCAATGTAAAAGATCAATAAAAGACCAATTTTCGTATGTTCCTGATCAATAAACTGTTTGGTTTACAATATTACTTGTTATAAAAGTCTCTTAAATACACTACCGATGTCCGTACAAAGTATGAACTTTATAGCAAAAATGTCATGGTGGTGATGACCATGGTGGCACTATCAGAGTCATCAATAGGGGTATCATCAAAGCGTAAAAAAGTGTATCATTCACTTTAGCACCAAAAGTATAAAAAATGAGAGCCTAAATCTTTCACTTTAGCACCAAAAACCACCACCGTAATCCTCTTTACACATCGAGTAAATTGAATATCTTTACATTTGAAGGGAATTTGCCACTCTTGCTTATTGTTTGGATAATCAAGCCATTGTTCAAAATCTGGGATCTCTATGAGAAACGAAAATTTTGGCTAACAATAAGCCGACTAACCGGAGCCCAGTGAGTCGATGATCGCTGCTCCCTTTCACCTCGATGCTTTTTTGTGTACAACCCGCTGTGCATTTATCGCTGGTGAGAGCCTTGATCACCACCTCGACTTTATTTCCGGCAGGAGCCTGGGAATGATTTTGCTATCTGCGGGTATTGCTCTACTCACTTTAATCAAAAAACTGCACGTCTCAAAGGTGGGATTTTCAACATTAGCTGTTCCAATAGTCCAATTTTGCGTTTGTAGCGTTGTAGTGGCCGTCAGAGTAGCTCCACAACCGGGTGCCTAAAGCAGGAAGTTATTCCCAAAATTAGCAAAGCTATCGCCAACCCTATCCGAGCAAGTCGGTCCACCCCATCCACTTGGGCAAAAACAAATATTGCAGTTTTTCGAATCTCTGAAGCCTCCATTCACACATGTTGCCCCAGTTGGACAGAATTCTATAGTTTTTTTTGCTTACTTGGTCTCATCTTTTATCATATATTTTTAAAATTATGATTTCATTCAACAATCAATAATAGGACCAGTCTTTGGCTCTAGAAAATTTTTTTGTTAAAAGACTATGATTAACTAGTTTAACTATTGTTGATCGCTATGGCTAGCTGTTTAATTCTTAAACTTTGTTAAACTTTAGACAACAAACGTTTGCATTGATAATGTTCGTTCATCATCGAAATATCGTAGAAGGACACCTGATTTCCCCCCATCACATTTTGATAAGGTATAACCTGGAATCAGAGAATTACTTCTAGTCAGCAATTCTCTTGGTCGAAGTCAATGCTGGCTATTGGCTATCAAACCTTGGCCATCATCGTCTTTGTCGTACCGTCAATGGAAAAGGCCGTCTCATCGTATTGCATGAGACTTCCATAATCATATGGAATTCCATAGTTGTAGTTGCTGGTGTTGCTGGTCTAAAACTAGCTGTCGTTGCCACAAGACTGAAACAAGCCTCGCGATAGTTTCCTTTACTCGCCGCTTTCACATTATCCAGGTATACGGTTATGGAATCATTTCTGTCGAATCGGCTCATTATGTGAAAGAATCCGAGAGCGTGAGCGATCTCATGAGCCGCGTTACGAAACTGAAATCCACTCTTATAAACAAGGCTACACGAGGCTCTCAGAAAAGGCATCGGGTGAGAGCTAAAATACAATAAATCTGGAAAGTAGAAAAAAAGATAAATAAGGCGTGTTAATATATATAAAAATCAAGTGTCTGTCTGTCGGCGGCCTATGGGAGGGAGGGCTCGACAAACTTTGCATTAGCCTCAAAACACTCAGACAGAGAAACCTCAACTGGTGTTAATAATAAAGTATAATGTTAGTAAAGTCAATAAGGCATAACTCGCTTCAGTCTTAGTTTGCTAGAAAGAAGTTTTTTTTACGAAATTTCTTGTAAATCGAGTTTTTCTGGCTCACTTACATTATTAGCACAGCCTTCTGTCAATTGGATACTTTGCTCTCCACCAACCATTCCAACATTCGAATTGCAAAGGGTGCCCAAGTAGAAACGGACACGATTTCTGAATATTATCATCATCATGCCAGGCTAGTCATGAAAAATTGCTGGCTATTTTGATCCTCCCTCCGCCTTATTATGAAAAACTTACGGAGCATTTTCGTCTTCCACAAAATTGATACAAGTCACATTTGCCCAAAAAGCGATTGCCATTCGTGCAACCGTTTGTTTGGCCGGGGCATAATTTTCATCAAAATAATAGTAGAAAGTTGTACCCCAGGTAATGTACGGATATCCACCATCATAATAGGCCTGCACAGTTCAGATTGGAAAACAAACGGCCTTCAGAAAAAAACCTGTCTCTTCTCTCTTGTTTCAACTTGTCCTTCGACTTCATCATCATCGACAAACTCTCCAAGCAAAGCATCGACTTGCGCGCTATAGAGAAAAAAAAGGTATATTGTCAATCCTTTAAAAGAAAAGAATATTTTGTATTGCCTCACGATCAGCTCAATCTTCAATACCCATTTAAGCCATAAAGTGCTGTTTATAGAAAGCCCTTTTTTTCAGAAAGCCCTTCGGAGTTTCTTTCGTCAAGCTTGCCAATAATAAAAACTTTAAAAGACGATGAATTTCTACAGGTTTAATTCAAAGTTTAGATAAAGAAAAAAGAAAACGAACTCTGTGAGCTTCATATCTCCTCCATACAATGATTCGGCCAAACCAGCAGCCTGATTGATCTGGAAAATAGTGAATCCCATCTTCTTTATAAGAAGCCAATTACTAATACAATATAAAGAAAAGTGAAAAAAGCATAGAAACCCTGAAAAGTCGACGAACCTCATCAATGGTCTTTTCATTTGGGAGTCGTGGGGATCGAACGTAGTTTTGGAGATGCTGAAATGGAAATATCACTAAAAGAAAAGGAATTTGAAGTTCGATTTGAAATTATGTAAATTCATGTAAAGAAACTTTAAGCTTTGCGGCCCATTCAGCTTTTTCCGCATCGGTTGGCTTGTAATCTCTCCTCGCTGTGTTCATTCGATCCAATGCCATTAGGAATCGGTCAACGTTTGTTGCCCGTCCGAAAGACTAAAATAATATTTTGATTGACTTTTAGGCGAGATCGAAACTATCTTTACAGTACTCGCTGGCAGAAAGTGAAGCTGTCACTGAAGCTGTCACTGAAGTGAAGCTGATACTGTGTTACCTGTTTGAACTCATTGATTTTCTCCTTTGACAGCATTCCCCATTTATGCTTGATGAACGGCAGTTTTCCTTGGATTCGCCCGAGTCCAATCGACTCGACACAACACACGGCAAGGAGGAACAACAAAGAGACATGAAAGAGTTGACTTGACATTCTAAAGAGAAACGGAGTCTTTGAACAGTTTAGGAGTTGGGCTAAGAAAGAAAGGACGTAATCCAACTTAAAGACTGCTTCTAATAATTTGCTAAGATTGTAAAAATATTGTACAAATATCATATAAAAAAACCGAAAACCCAGATCAAAATCAAAAAACGAAAAACCCACTATACCCCTTCTCAAAAAAGTCAAGATCAGGTTGTGAGCGAGAGCGATCATTCAGTCGCCGTTGTACTTTTGATTCCGGTCCCCTCTTATATAATAGATGACAGCCGCAAAAATGACCGTGATTTCTTTCTGTGCGGCACGTAGACATTTTTTAAAATTAAATTCTACATCGACCGGAAATCCAAATTCTATTGTAGAAGAAACAAGAAAAAAAAAATCCCAAAATACCACTTATACACTCTTGACCCCCAACTGTGCCAGTCGAAAATTTCCCTTTTTGCGTTTGCACGAGACGCTTCTATCATGAATGGCCTATATGGAAGTTGGCTATACGATTTTCTATTCTATATTGAAGTACAGTCTAAATTCTTTCTAAAATCGTCAATTCAAAAAGCCTATACACTTTTGATCTCTGGGTCTCTGAAAAATTCATTTCAAATTTTTTTGGAATTTTTCATATTTTTGCTCAAAATCCAGGATCTATCAGTATTGTTTCTATATTGTTTTTGTTGTTGTTTTTGTTTCTATATCGATTCTCTCCAAATTTATCGAACCTTATCGATAAAGATAGATACAGTCATCAAAAAAGTCTTGACCCATTGCTCCTGAAAGGATTAAAACAAAACTTTTTGGACAAAAATGACCGTTTCAGAAAAACCTTTAGAAGAAAGCGAATAATTTAGCGAATGTGCTCTGGTTTTCGGATTAAGGAGCTGTTTTTATTGGGAAGCAGTCTTTAAGTTGAATTACTTCCTTTCTTTCTTAGCCCAACTCTTAAACTGTTCAAAGACTCCGTTTCTCTTTAGAATGTCAAGTCTTTCATGTCAACTCTTTCATGTCTCTTTGTTGTTCCTCCTTGCCGTGTGTTGTGTCGAGTCGATTGGACTCGGGCGAATCCAAGGAAAACTGCCGTTCCTCAAGCATAAATGGGGAATGCTGTCAAAGGAGAAAATCAATGAGTTCAAACAGGTAACACAATATCAGCTGTCACTTTCTTTCAGCGAGTACTGTAAAGATAGTTTCGATTCATTGGGGGCTATTCATTTTAGCACAAACAAACTAAGAACATTAACTTTGAGTCGCAAAAAACTCTTGACCCACTGGTTGATTGTTATGAAAACTTTGTTTTTGATACATTATTCTGATTTTTCGGAATTAATTTATTATGTTCTAGGAAGAGATATCTGGATACTCCGACAAAGTAGAATATTTTTTCCCTCTGATGGTTTTGAGGCATCAGCGATTGCGACTGGCCTTCGTAACAGTCGGACAAACATTGGACGTAGACGATTGCAAGAGGGTTCTCTGGAGTGACGAGACAAAGATCAACATGTTCAACCCGGATGGTGATCAAATGATTCGACTATCATACATCGACCAGCTCAAAAAACTCGATGAGAAGTTTAAGCAAAAGCACCTCAATTTGAAAAAGTCATTCTCCAACACGACAACGCCCGTTCACCTATGGCAAAGTTAACCCACTCCACAATGCACGAGTTAAACTGACAATGGAAAGTCATGAGGGTGATGTGGAGATTGAAAATGAGACCTAGACCCTCAGATGCAGAATTTTTCGCTGATTCTGATGCTGTATGACGCGGAATCGCGAGAGATCTGCCACAAACATTTTTGGCGTATATCCTTAAGGCCTTTCGTAAGGGCGGAAGGGCTGGAGCGGTGGCCGAGTGGTAGAGTGCTCGCTTGCAAGTCTGTTCCTCGTAGGTTTGAATCCTCTTACCTTTTCTTTCTTTTGCTTTTTTTGGAAACCTATTTTAGATCAACCTAAGCTGTCAACTCTTTTGGTTTTTGAGAAAATCAGATTTTTGTAGAGCGCAATACTATATCTGCCGCACCCTGCACATAACTGTTCGCACTTATTTCGAGCTCTAATCATGTTTCGACTCAGCTTTTCTTAAATCAATACATTTCTTTAATGTTACATAAAGCAACCATAAACTGGAATCCTTCATAATATTACAATGAGAGCTCATCGCTTATGCAGAGTCATAAGTATTATAGGCTATAGTAATAGGTTATAATTACAAGTATAACCGAGTTCAGAACCAAATTAAAAAGCCAAACCATCCAATAGTAGTAGGAGGATGTCTCATGATCAGCTGGGTAATCGACGGGCGATCGGTCGGTCCAAGAGCCACTTCTCGTAGCGCCCGTCCCATAGAGACCCGTTCACGCCCACAGCTCGTCACATGATTCTTGCCCACCCTTGAGGCAATTCTTTCTAATATCATTGAGTGTCAACTATTAAGTTCAGGTACAGCTTCTTTCTAAAAAGACACCATGACATGCTCACATTTTCTCTCATCTCCACCCACTGTACCCCCTACAACAGCAATTCTTATCCGATGTTGCCAAATTTGGCTCTCTTCTGCCCATTTTTCTTAAGATTGAGACTTTAATGGAAAAAGTGAAAATCTTACTAAAAAGAAATAATCAATGGATGTGTTTTTCAACAACCTGACGTGTGAAATACCGTAAATACTTTTGGCATTGAAAAATTTATTGAATTTAAGACAATCTTACTTGACTGGAGGGATGATCGCCCTTTGATCTGACCTTGTGACTTTATTTAAGACTTTTAGGCTTTTTATCCTTTCTTTTATCTCTTGCTAAACAGTGTCATTGTTATTATTTCGGAGACGGAGTGAACTTTTCGGAAGCAACGCACAAAGTGATGGACCTTTGGTCTAAAAGCAAACGATTTGTGTGTATTTTTTTCTTGCTTCCTCTACTAGATCAGCATAATACTATATCATACAACTCTTGGGTTTTAGGTTAGATAACCACACCAGCATGCACAATTTTATCATTGATCAAGATAACGTTTTCATATTTATAGATTCTCATCTGACTGTGAGACTAATAAAAAAAGTTGGACCCATTTTGGACGGTCGGTTGGACCCATCTTGGACCAAACGACTGGTAGAACCTTAGGGGATCGGCAAATGTCTTGTATTACCACTTTCTTTAAAGCATTACTAACAGTTAAAGCCGTCTAGTTCAAATTGAATAGATGAAGATGCTAATATCTAGAGTTCTGGCAAAGGCTCGGCTAGAACTAGAGACTTATTGGGTTGGGGAGAATGAAATGACGCCGAAAATCAAAGAAATTTCTAAAACTACTAGCGGAGAATGAAATGATGCCGAAAATCAAAGAAATTTCTAAAACTACTTCGCCAAATGATACACATTTGATATTAGCAGAAAGTTTAACTAATTCTCTACAAAATGACATTTAAAAGAGAACTCAAACAGCGCCTCAACAAAAGGCAATTTTTTCACAAAATCTATAAATTTTCATCTAGAAAAAACGGTTGGAGCGATCTTTCTGAAAATTTGGCAAATAATGTAATTGAGTGTGCTCTACCTTTTTATGAAGACACCAAAGGAGATTTTAGTGGAAAAAAATCTTTCAAACGATGCGTCGAACTCTGCCATTTTGACTAGCGGTTTTTGGGAGTCCATAAACTCGACAAAAGAAAAGCTTTATGGAATCTCTCAAAAGTCATTTTGTAAAGAAATAGTGCACCGTTTTGATGAGAAAAACGCGTGTTTAAAGAGGGCTTTATGCGTGCAAAAGGTGTCTTTAAAGTTCGGCGCCATTTCATTCTTCCCAGCCCAATAGCTCTGGCCTAATTGTGGATTTTTGGATGAGTGTTTGTCGACCTCTGAATGGGAGTCGCCTTGACTTCCCATTGCGATCGAAGCGTATCAAAATAAACCCTCCTCGCCTGCGCTCCCAAATCAATCAATTCCTTTGTTTGATCGACACGTTTCTTTTCGCCTTTCACAACAATCACATAAACTATCCACGGGGGAGATCATCGTGAAATACATTGGCATCTAAATGAATAGAACAATAGAGTATTCATATGTTCATAGCGTACAAAAATGAGTCCTCCAACAGTCGTACCCAGCAGATCTCCCATTGGCCAATATGTTCGATAGGCCACAGCGATGAAAGTGAAAGCAAGAAATGAGAACGCGTGAAAAAGGCTGAATATTTGTTGTCAGCGTCTTTGTCAGCGGACAAATTAAGCCAGAGATTTTGCACAAGACCCGGATGGACCCGATGAATTTCTCTTGGGAGAGTAGAGACACTCCACGGCACTCGTTCACATTGCTTTTATACGGAACTCAGGCGTTGGTCTCGTCTTGTACACAATGGAGTTGAACGGATAGCGTCGCATATTAAATCTCGCACAATAGGCGTTCGTCCACATAGGTGCCTAGCTGGCTCATCGTGCCAGTGCCTAGCTCATCGTACAAAAAAAATAAAGACTGAAAGGAAAACCATGAGGTGAGAAAATCGGTTTCATAAAACTACGCAACAATATAGTTTACCTCTTTGCCCCATTGCAAGTTTTATAATCTCTTTTCCTAATAAGGTTGGTTTTCTTTTGAGGTTTTCCCTTGGGTTTTCAGACAAATCAAATTTTTTACCTGCTTAATACAGCTATGAAATACTATATCTACCAATGAAACCCTCAAAATTTCAGCTTCATTGGTCTGATCCTTTTGAGAAAGAAAAGAAAGACGAAGAGGAAAGAGGCGGACAAAGGCTTAGCAGCAATTAGCATCTCAAAAATGGTTGCGAGCAAAAACATCAGCAAAACTGTTTCGACTTTTGTCACCTCGAGTTGAAAGCTGAAAGCTGAATTCTTTCTATTTTTAAAAAACCTTCTGTTTGCTTGATTTGGTTTTATTTTTTTGTTCATTTGTTACGGGTGTAATCGCTTTTCGCTTTCATTGACGGATGAATACGGAAAAAAGATTTATTGATGCAATGACATTTTCTAATTACAGTTTAT